TAATAATAATAATAATAATAATAATAATAATAATAATAATAATAATAGTACATAATAATAGTACATAATAATAGTACATAATAATAATACATAATAGTCAGACTTTGAGGCAGTTTAACAGTTAAAATGGCCAAACGTAGGTTTTATAGATTTATTTGCCTGTTTTCTGTTTTTCCAGCGTATGTTTCCCTCCTAAAATTATCCAGAAAGTTGCTTTATCTCATCTTTCATGTGGTTTTCAACTTTCGATCAATCTCATTCATTTGAACTGTGTTTCAAACAGGACTTGAAAAGTGTGAAATTGCCCTTATGCAAACTGAACCCATCAGAGCTTGCTAGTTTTGTCATTTCAAAACTTCCCCAGTGTTTAGAAATGAGCTGCACAGCCACACCCAGCAAGTAGTCAGGCCCCATCCTCTGATGTTTCTCATGAAGCCTCTCATCTGGTGTCCAAGTGAGAAGGAGTGGAGCTGAGGGCAGATTTACTGTATTCAATGTTAAAGAAAAAATTAGTTTCGTTCCTGTCAAGAAGGTGGATCTTGGAGGGAGGACTGAGTCGCGGATATTCAGAAAACAGGGTTTATTGGAACACAAAAAGACGCACTCAAAGAGTGGATGTCAGGACAGGGTTAAAAAAACAGGGCTGTGGCAAAACTGTGAGCAAAGTAACAAAGCAAGATAAACATGGCTGTGGAAAAAGTATCAAAACAAGACTATGGTTAAAACAAGGCTATCAAGACTGTGGCAAAACAAGGCTGTGACAAAAACTATGCTCAAAGTAGCAAAGCAAAGTTAACAAGGCTGTGAAGAAACATGGCTATGGAACAAAAACGAGACTATGGCGTGGAGCAAAAAGCAAAACCTTACGTGACATGGGGCTTTGTTCAGGTTTTTTTAAACATTTTTATGAATTATGTTTATTAGGTATTTTTGAACATTTATACAAAAACAGAAAGGGGAAGAACAGAAAGAGGGCAAAATTTAAACAGCACTGATACAGAAAACAAGAGAAAATCAAAATTGGAGGCATGTACAGTGGGGGAAATAAGTATTTGACCCCTTGCTGATTTTGCAGGTTTGCCCACTTACAAAGAATGCTTATTTTTCCTCATCAGATGGTTATCAATTTTTATAAATTCATATGATGTGATTTTCTGGAATTTTCTTTGGGATTCTGTCTTTCACTGTTAGAATGTACATATGATTAAAGTTATAGATCGTTGCATTCTTTGTAAGTGGGCAAACCTGCAAAATCAGCAAGGGCTCAAATACTTATTTACCCCACTGTACATTAATTAAAGCGTCATGTGAGAAACATAATCACTTTATACATACACGTCATTCAGATTCACATTACTGGTTTTTTAATTTTTGAAATTTCGAAGTGTTCAAGAATACGTTCCCATCTTTTTTAAAAAGCATAACATTTCCCATTCATACAATATCTCAATCTTTCTAGTACAATAACTTCAGAAAGTAAAATTTTTTCATAGCTGGATCGACGGGGCATCAGAACCAACCCATTTAAGCATTATTGATTTTTTGGTCAACATTAATAGAAATTGCACAATTTCTTAGTGAGTATCCAGATGACCCAAGGAGACACGTGATTGGACGAGGGAGAAGTGTTTGTCCTATAGCTGAGCTAATTTCTTGACATACTGCATGCCAGAATGCCTCTATAATTTTACACTCCCATAAACAGTTAATTCTAGTCCCTGTAATTGTTTTACATTTAGGACACTTTGTTCAGGTTTTAAATTTTGCCCCACTGTGTTTTTGAGTTTAACACTCCTGGTTTATGCTGTCAGTGAAAAGGTGTTTCACAAGTTAGAAATCTGCACCTGTAGACTTCCCTGAGTTTCTCGATGTGTAAAAACACACATTATGGGTTATCCTGTGGGGAATAGGTCTTTCACACATTTTTCCATGTGATTGTTAACCAGTGGTGGAGAAAGTACTCATACAATGTACTTAAGTAAAAGTACAAATACACAGACAAAAATTTACTCAAGTAAAAGTCAAAGTACCACTTTATTATTTTACTTAAGTAAAAGTAAGACAGTACAAGCTTTTTAAACTACTTACGTATTAAAAGTAAAACTACTTGCCAACCATAATACCTAACGGCTTATATAATGTCATTAAGTGTACTTATCGTATTTAGTTTTAATAAATCAGTAATGTACCATTTTAATGAGCAATGCTGCAGATAAAGCATGTTTTTATTGTGTTTACCCCCTGTGACAGTTTAGATTTAGATATTTTATGCAGGTCCTGGTACTGTGCTGCTCTTCTTGAGGGAGGGCCTAATATTATTATTATTATTTCCCGCTTTGGATTGGTTCAGCGGACTGATTCTGCTCTCGCCATTGGATACTTTCAAACTAACGAACAAATCAAAAAACCGAAATGCGTCTTTGATGTAACGAGTAACGAAACGCTGTATAGAAATGTAGTGAAGTAGAGTGAAGTAAGTACAGATACTTACTGTTAAATGTAGTGGAGTAAAAGTAGAAAGTATCCATTATTAAATCTACTTAATTAAAGTACAGATACACGGAAATTGTACTTAAGTACAGTAACGAAGTATTTGTACTTCCTTACTTCCCACCACTGTTGTTAACCCGATTCTTTAGTTGGAAACCTGAGAATAAACCAGAGTAGATCAAAAATATAAATCCTAACATGATGGTTCTGAAGTATATTTTCCCAGTTCCTCATCAAAACTTCATCTGCATATCGTTTCCGTGCTGATGAACTTCACAGGGCCATTAAATATAATAAAGTCTTTGCTCGTTTGCATATTTGCCGGCATCTCTCTCCTGTAGAGGAACTGAATACCAAGTGGCCGTTTCATCTGACCGGCCTTCCCCACAGGATAACCATCATGTCTCCCTATCAGCATTCACTGTGTGTGGACAGAATTAGAAAAAAAAACACATCCTGAATCACAGACTGTTCTGCAGCTCACAAAGATTTGTTATGCAAATTATGTCGTTAGGATTTGGCTGTAATTACTCGCTTTAGCATAGTATGCTATCACATGATCTGTGTAAATTACTGATTGTTTTATTGTCTTTTATAACTATATTTTGTGCTAAAGTCTCTGGCTGTGTCCACAGACTCTCTCCTCTCTCTTTTCCTTTCTCTCCTTTTCTTTCTCTGTTGCATTAGATCCACCTTTAACCCTTTAAAGCCTGATCAAAGAACAATAGGAAGAATATTGAATTTTTTAAGTCTGAAGTCTTTCTTTGGCCCCTCAACAACATATGAAGAAAAAAAACAGAAATGATTTTGATCAAATTAGCGTGCAATAAGTCAAAAATTTATTTTGGTGTAGTCTTCTACTGGCTGTTATCAGGTATATCTGAATGTGTACAACAGGGGTTTGAGCAAAGCTTTTACCACTGAATGATGCAGAAAGTCTCAGATCCAAAAGACTTCACAAACCGTATCAAATATGACACATTTGGCATTATAGGGTTAAGTCAACACAAACACACACCATTTGTTAGCACATTCCTGTCATCTGCATGAATTAGGACCTGGCCTGTTCCTGCCCAGAGGTAACTGGCCAATAGGACTTGGTTGTGTCCAGTCCTCCTTTGAGGAGGCGGATGGAGCCCAGGAGATAATGCCCATCACCCAGATCTCAGGGCTCTTTGCCACTGAGACCCAGAGAGAGGTTTTAGTCTGTCAGAGCCCAGCTGATACACTTAACTGTGTCCAATAAAGGTTATTTTTTATACTTTTGATTCATTCTGGTTTATTCTCAAGTTTCCAACAAAAAAATCGGGTTAACAAAAGGAAACACAAAACATGATGCTTTTTTCCTGATTTAATTCAGATTTAACCCTATAATGCCAAATGTGTCATATTTGATACTGTTTCTGAAGTCTTTTGGATCTGAGACTTTTTGCATCATTTTTTTATATTTTTGATCTACTCCGGTTTATTCTCAGGTTTCCAACTAAAGAATCAGGTTAAGTAT